CATCACAAAATGAACAAATCTGAGAGAGGTCCACATGTAGTACCTATATATGTAATATCAAAGCAATCGGACTTGTGGTTTTTAACAAGAAGTCGAAAATATCACTTTTTACCAAAAATTACAAAAATATTCACCAAAATTAGAGAATTGAAGATATCATCACGAAATGAACAAATCTGAGAGAGGTTCACATGTAGTACCTATATATGTAGTATCAAAGCAATTGGACTTGCGGTTTTTAACAAGAAGTCAAAAATATCACTTTTTACCAAAAATGACAAAAATATTCACCAAAATTAGAGAATTGAAGATATCAACATGAAATGAACAAACCTAAGAGAGGTCTACCCAAGGTACATATACACCAAGTATCAAAGCATTCAGGCTTGTAGTTTTCAAGAAGAAGTCGAAAAAGTAAAACATTGACAGGGACGACGACGGACAATCACTCATATGATAAGCTCCGCTCGACAAAGTCGACAACGGAGCTAAAAAGTATATTCGCTGGATTTTATTTTCACTGAATCAGCGAAAATAGTGAAAATTAAATCCAAGCGAAAATAAAGTATTTTACAGAATAACAAAAGTTCGTCCATAATTACATCTGTTGCATGTACCCTCCTCATCCAGGGTATCAGTTAATCCCCCGTGTTTTGGGGTCTTCATTCCAAATTTGAACTACCTCAATCAAGGGATTAATGTTTATTGTATTTGGTTTAATACACTCACCAAGCACACTTATCCATGAGATTCATAAAATGGTGGTTGAACTTCATGATTACAATATATAAGACGTAGAGCACCAGCAACACTATGGACTCCCATAGTTCAAAGTGTGCATCCCAGGAAAATGTAATAAAACAGCAAATTGAAATACCGTAGAATAAACTATCCCGCATCAATGGACGCCAGTCTAAATGCAATATCTGGGGGAGAAACAGAACAATAAATTAAAGATTATATAACGATACAGAAAAAGAACAAAAATAATAATTAAATAAGCAAAATGATAACATAAATATCTCAGAATTTTGTTTGGTTAAACAAGTTACACATCCTAATTGATATGACGCATAATATTGCAACAAATTTTCAAATAATTCACATTTTATTTAGTAAGTTTCAAATGTAATCATACTTTTCCATTACATTCACTGCGATTTTTATTCTCATAAAAGCTTTACACATACGCTCAAAAACGTGCGCAGTAGTTCAATTTGGATCAAACTCCTTTTAACAGCTTTTTTTCCCCACCACTTCTACCAAATTTAAAATTCTATTCACGTTGAAATCAGAAGAGCTTATAATTTACATACACACATGTTGGCATAAGTACAGTCTGATCTGTGAAAACAATTTGTTCCCATTTGTAAACAGTATAGACAGGCAGTTTGTAATTATTTTTTGATTCTCACATATCCCAATTAGGTGGATATATCATTCTTCATTGTCGATGTTGAAAACAACCCATACGATTGGAAGTGCATGTACTGTGAAGTGAGTTAAAAAAAAAGCTTGTTCTGTATTTTCCTTGATTTAAAGTTTAGAGATTAAAATATTATGCGCATATAGAAATCATTTGTTATCAGAAAAAAACGTTTGTGTCTAGGAACATATTTATTAATGTTCAAATGTCTAAAAATGCCAAAATGGTGAAATAAAATTCCTGTGAAAATATATTTCATTATTAAATTAATTAATTAATTAGTAAACTGAGCCACCGTATAAAACGGATTTCATCCAATTCATTTGTTGCAGTTTTATTATTTTGCACATTTACCAAAAAAAAAAAAATAGAATTAATCTTCACTACGGAGTCAAGACTACTGGAACTGTCTATTTATGCAAGTAATTACCACATGCACGCAAACACGCATTCACAACAACTAAAAACCGTTCGTCATCTCATCCTTTTGTGAAAGCAAAAGGCAGGTCTTTCATAACAGAGAGTTAGTCAACATAGTAGATACTGTAAGATTTATTTAATCAAGAGAAAGAGAAATCTCAATTTACGACGGACTCAAGATCTACTCTGTACACGGCGACAAAACTCTGACAGATAGCTATATCTATTTATTGACAAAATTGTCATGGCAACTACAAAACATTGATGAATTTTAGCATGCAGTTACAAATTCTTTCTTTGTATGGGTCTTTATTATTTTGAGAACCGAGAATTGGTATAATACTGTGAGACAATAATTAATTTTTATTGTTATTCCAGAAATTAGGTTACCATGTTGACTCTTACCTAGTAGCGCTCATGTAAATTCCATTCAAAATCTGATGTATTATAAAGATTCAACGTATAATAAACACAATTTATTATTAATGTGTGCATCTATCAGAGATGTGCTTGAAATAGAGATAAAATTAATGTTTGTTTTTTTATGGGAAGGGGTTCATTAACTAAAGCAGAATTTGACTTACCTGACCTGCGAGGGCAGCAGACAAAGCAATTATGATCAAAATGTTAAAAACAGCTGACCCTACAATGGTACCGATACCGAGATCCGTCTCTTGGACGACACCAGCGACTGATGTAAACAATTCGGGAGCTGAAGATCCAGCTGCCATGAACGTTGCCCCGGCAACATCCTCTGAAAGTTCCAATTTTTCCGAGATAACCTCCAACGATGGCACGAAGAAGTCATCACAGATAATTGCTAGAGCTGTTGGAGAGCGAGAAATGAACATATTAGAAATTAACATAAAAAATACTGAACAAACAGGAAATCAAACTGAAAACCTCCAAAATGTTGCCCACCCACACTACAGTGCAAATGAACTTTTCCTAAAGCACCCGAGCTTGAACAAAACCATCATTTCCACTAGGCCAATTTTTTCGTTGACATTCATCATAACCCTATGTGTTACCCCTAGTTACAAAGATATGAAGAGAATTGCATGAAAGTGTCAACAAGAGCTTATATGTAGGAAACACACTATGATGGTGATATAAAGAAGGCATAATGTAATCACAGGGGACCAAGGAAAAACTTGGCCTAGCCTTTTGTTTTGTTTTTTATACAAATCTATTTATAGCCTCGATTCAGATGTCTCATTTCACAACATGGCCACTGATGCGTTGAACCGACAGTAGCAGCTCGAATTGAGCCAGCTCTATTATTCCGTGGAGACAGAGTACTTTTATTCCATTACCGCAATCAAGCTGGTATCCTCTCCCCCATCATAAAACCGGTAAACAGCGTTACACTCAATAGCTTTAACAAAGTGAAAATAGTTACCAATGCACTTAAAATGAAATTATTTCTATGGAAAATATGAAAATGTCAAATAAGTGAATAGCGAGATTGCTGTGACGTCGCAGTGCCTGTGTTCAGTGTTCAAATGTTATCTCTGGATTAAGCATACGCAAGCTGGCATCACTAACGTGGTATGGCTGCTAGTGACAAGTGAACCAATGTGGTATTATTCTGAATAAACATATTCAATGTTGACACATGTTCAAAACCTGTTAGTACTATGAAAATAATAATTCATATTAGTTCATGATTTTTAATTTTATTTATTTCATTTCAATTTTCATTATTTTTTCAGTACAATTATCATCAAGAAAATTAAACAGCAATGCAAGATTGAATTCAAGTTAATGTTAAAGGTCAATATCATAGCTAGAAGGCAATTTACTTGATTTCTAAGATGTTGGTGTTTGGGGGGGGGTGAAAACTGCTGATTACAATGCCAAATAATTTGCACATTTGACATTGCTTCGAAGAGTTCATAGTTTTAAAAAAAAAAGATTGATTGGAGATGGATGATATTTTTTTTTCATATCAATGTCTCAATCAACATAAATCATAAAAACAGCTATATAACTATTTTGATATTTTTTTTAATTTAGAATATATACCATGGGCAGTTAATATTTGTTCAATTTAAAAAATAAAAAAGCTGCTGCTGCTGCTGTTCCGACAATGTATTAATCTGGAGATGAGCAAGAAATTTCAAAAAAAAAGGAAAACCAGTTTGATAATACAGTGTAATCACATTTTATTAGCAACTGCCTATCAAATTAGAAGAGATTCTTCTTTTATGTTTTTCTGCTTCTTAACGCGAACCAACCTCCGGCTTAGGCTCTGTAAGGACATTTTTGAGAACAATATTGGCTTGTGGTTTTAAATGGATTATTAGTCAAACCTTCTGCGTACAGAGTCTGAACAGATTGCCATGCTGTGCTTGACATGCTGTAGATATAATCCTCTTGAATTTAATGCCTGTGTGAAATTTAACGACGCCTGGATTTTACTCCTATTTATATTTTTTTGTGCGTTTTTTTCATAAAAATGCTCAGACAATAAAATGAAATCATATTAAATAAGAGCAAATTAAAATCAGAGTGTTTATCCCTCTCAGTGGTGATTTCAGATGCATATATAATCAGTAAGAATAAACATGTGAAAACGTCTTGTTCATGTTGAATGTAATGCTTTAATTTTCAGAAAAAGTAATTATCTTTGAAACACGGTTTGAAAGAAAATAAATAATATTCTACATTTTGTTGTGTACCGACGATGGACTTGATTTATGCAGCGTCGTATAAACAGGAAAGTGACGACTCCATTATTAATACAGATATTTTGTAACACACTATAGCCAATTACGAAGAAGCTTTTACTGGTACCGTATATGTGTATTGTGTATATTGCATCGAATACCAATTTAATGTATCGCGTGATATGAAGTTTATTTTGGCGACTAAAAATGGGATCATATAAAGTGATCGATCAATGTCGACAGCCTGGAGGAAAGAGTAATTGAAATTCACAGTATATTATGAACAGTTTGGGCTCAGTTCGTATACAATCAACCTTTCTATTGTCAAAGAGTGTTTTTTTTTTTTTTTTGAAGATATTTCAACGTATAACAATGGTTGATTCAAACAAAATAACTCTGTGTCGGTGAATTGTAAAATCACAGGCCACCAAAACTCTCACGACTATGTAATTACAGTCATTCTTAACAAACAAAAAAAATAACCTGCTGCTGACATTCTATTTTTAAATATATGTTATTCACAAATGAATGTTGATATTTAAATAAGATTCGCCACAAAAAAGAAATCATTTCTAACTTGACGTAACTTAAGATATATGGTGTATTCATTCTATTAGATATACATTGTTGAAGGACGCGCTTATAAACCAAAAACTCACATTTTCTGTATACCGAATCATTAAATATTACTCATTTTGAACCAAAAAAAAAAAAAAAAAACACCTCTGTAATCCGCATAAGAGCATACAGTACCGCAGTACTGAAAGAGCAGGTTGTGGCAATATGGTACCCCCTTTTCACACAAAACATAAAGTTGAGTTTTTTTAGAGACAACAATTTTAAATTTGACTGGTTATCTCCTTATGTTGGAAGGCATGACCTTATTCTAGATTATTTCATACTAAGCCGCAAAACAAAGAAAAGAAGAAGCTTTCAAAAGCACTCAACTTCAATAGCTAAAGAGGTGAGACAAACAAAACTATTCCATGGCAACTTGCATGTACTCGGTATATAAACAGCCAGATTGTCACTTCACACGGAAGTGGTAAAACAAGTTGTATGCGACACAGATAAATATGATCTTTTTAATAAGAACGTAGTGTGATACGGACTGCTTGTTGTGAATATTTAATTGCATTGGAAATGCCGGGTTGCCACAGCAGTGATTTTACTATGCAGTCGGCGTATACATATCTATATCTGATATATGTATATAGTACAAATGAAATGTATTATTGATTCATGGAATGGAATCAATTTTACAGAAATCGTTCTCGATCTTTACCTGAACATAGTGAAAGTGAAATATTCAAAATCGAAATGTTGTTTTTGTTGTTTCCTTTCAGAGATCATTGATCATGTTATCTTTGAAATCTATTTACGTATTCAACTTCGCTTCACTGACTCAGATAATCATTCACTGGGACAATGAGTGAAAACCAAATCTAACGATTTTGTAAAAAAACAAATATTCACATTTTCCATCGAAATTGTAATATTTTTCTACATTATAAAAAAAAAATATCAAAATATCAGATGCCATTTTTAATCTCCACATTTGTTCGTTCTTACAGTGGAATTAGAGAAATTACTCAGTAGGCTTGTATTACCATTGGGTTGTATATATGTCACATTGATAAAGTTGACATCAATATAATAGCTCTTGTGCCATGTATTTATGGTTTGTTTCCTATCATTCATCAATCAAGTCGTTAGATCTCAATTGTATATTTGGACCACGGGGATTAATAAGTGAAATCATCCTATTTACTTTAATCCCCTCTGTGATCTCATCGTACTTATCCACTTAGTAATTCTGTTAAAATTGATAATGAAAGGCCCTTCACATCTTCCAATGAGTCAGCATGGGCAACAGCTGTTGCTAAGGATGAGATGCAATATTTCAAGTGCATTTCCAAAGGAAAAAACAAAACATACTTTGATGCAATCAAACTATTGTTTACTACCTGCTTTTAAAATTTAGAATTTGTCTTTTTCTGTACAATTTCTTAGCAGTTTATAGATTTAAAATTTAAGCCAGAAATTATCTTAAAATATAAACATAATAGAAATATTGTGGTTTTCCATCTATTGTTTCAAGCTGCAAACTTATTTTCACTACAAGGTAATCATCATTATTAGTGTAGAACTCAAATATTCAAAAACTATATAAAGTAGTATTACTCAGTTTACCTCAGTTTATTTTAAACACAACAAGGATATGTCTTATTGAATGTAAACTACTTCTAAATTCCAAATAAATGCAACAACAAAACAAGTAGTGTATGCCATAAACAAATTTACCGTCAACTGACAACTCACATTCCAGACAATTCTCTAAAACAAATGGCAGTACATTGACTCCATGCAAATCAAATTAATCAGCAGTTTGTCGCCTTCAATTAATTCCTTCAAAAAATGGCTGTACGCCACCTCCGAGCAAATAATTAAAAATCGAGTGTCTGTCGCCTTTAAGTAATTCTAAAAATAATCAGCAGTATATTGCCTTCAGGCAAATCTCTGTAATCGGCAATCTGTCGTCTTCAAGCAGTTGTCCAAATAATCGGCAATACTTCACCTGAAAGCAAGTCTCCACAGTATCTTTTGAGTTACAAGTACTTGTAGAGGAAGAATGAGAGAGAATGGTTGTTCCCAAAATCATTTCATGATATTTCTGTAATTTATATACGAGACAACTTATGACTTTGTAAATGTTTACACGGTTTAAAAAAAACAGGTTTTAAATGTATATATCTACCATTGATTGTTACATTATCTTATGAATAAATGCATATTTTAGTATTAATTATGTGGAGACATCACTTTCATTTAATCAAAGCATGAAAAACCGATCAAACACGTACACAAATCAGTGCTGGATAGATGAATGGATACAACAAATTATCTCAATTAATTATAGTCAATTATAGTTTTTCATAAATTTAAAATTAACATTTTTTTTACGAACACTTTTTGTAACTCATTGGTCAAGAATTGAAATATCAAAATGTGTCAAATGTCAATTTCAGAATGAAATGAAATATCGAAACGTGTTAATCGTCAATTTCATAATTCAATAATTCATTCCTATTTAACCAAATACAGATAAATATATGATGCGAAAATGTACGAACATTTAGATGTCACTCAGAGCTGATGATAGAAATGACAAAACTATAGCCCCTAATCGCGTACCATATGGTGGGGGGTCATTAAATGCCTGTTAGATAGTAATAGCTTTTATCCAGTGCTACACAGACAGTACATACGACACATAATAACTACATTTATATATCAGTTTGTCTCTTATAATTAAGGTAACGACCTCAGGAAATCTCTTTAAGGTAAAATGCTACAACATATGCTTTTTAGACATGTGTGCATATTTAAGCCGTACAGCAGTGACAATATTTTGTGTCAAAATCTGTCTATAATAAAACGTTTTAATGTTAGTGAACAATACATGATTTTTTTATACACTGTCACTGTGTTTTTTGAAAAAAAAAACATCAAATAATATGTATAAAATAAAAATTTACTAATGGTTTCCATAGACTACAAAGCAAACACATTTCGACACTAAAATAATGTCAATTTTGTAGTACATCTAAACATCAACAAGTAGAACGCTATATATTATAAAACTTCTTCACTTGAAATTGCCAACGAAAATTTGTAGATATCATGAAAAATTACCCTTGCCATAGGAAACAATGGCAACATGCCTTAAAATAGACAAAAAGCGAATCAGATGCTGCCAATATTTATATTTCATTTTCTTCATCCTTGTAACATGAAATGTTGCATATGAAAAAATAACGAAAATTTACATAATTTTTACTTTTCAGTAGCGTTCTATCACAACTAATCATGATCAGTTAGGCATGCTCGAATATATAGGGAGTCTTGGAATCGTCGACTATCTCTTATATCCTCCATAAGAGTCTCAATAATTAAAGCGGGGAAGTCGTCACCTGAGCATGCGCCAGATGGCCATAGTGTGTAATTGTTTACAAACAAGCGTCTACCCATGAACCTTTGCATTTTTACTGTGTGTTGTTATCGTTGCTTGGGACTCAATTCCCGCGCGTGTGCAGGTGACGACCTTCCCGCTTCAATAGATTCCTATTAGTTACTTATCTTGTACCTAGATTAGAGTTATATGAAAACAGTTGGATATACAATGAATATAAACACTAAGGCAACCCTCAGCAACAAGATTCCTTATTGTATGCTCCATGTTATATCTAAGCTTTCAGAATTTTCGCTATTTTCGCTGAAGGAATAATTCAGTGAAAATAAAATCCAGCGAATATACCTTTTTTCCTATATTTTACATTCAACTCGTCAAAAATCAGTGAAAATAAATTCCATACAAAACACCCAAAAAGTCTATTCAGTGAAAATTAATTCCAGCAAAAATAAAGTATTTTACAGTATATATACATTTTCATGGCTATACACATAGTGATACTGAATGATGACTTAAAGCACGATGGTCGCCGCGTTCGAATTTCATGTAAATAAACAATGTATTTTACATGCGTTGTATACGTCACTATGAGTCCCATATCGAACTGGACGCAGCACGACGACTGCCGCCAGAAAACAAGTGATTACAAAGATTTCCCTTGGTAAGCTGCTTTAATAGCCCTGTTAACACTAACAAACCTGAAGATACTCATAGTTATATCATCATGAATATTAATAGCCTTGTTCACACTAACAAAAGATATGTTCGCCTTTGATAATAGTGATGAAAAAAAAAATTGTTTTGATTTGAAAGTTTTACAATGTTTGTAACAATAATGAAGTACCAGTGCCAATAGTTTAAATGAAAAAAATGAAAAACTTGATCTAAGTAATTGCTTGCATTATCGAACTGTCTTTGAAACGAGGAAGGGAATACAGCTGCAACACAGAGACAGACATAAAACGTAAAGGGCTGTAGTCGTCGCGCCATGAATGCGGGATATAAATGAGTCTCATATAAACAAAGATGGTGACTTTGACTGTTGCACAGATCAAACAAGTACAAACTGAGAAATTACCAGGCTTTAATTAGGTATTTTTTTAGATGATTGGATGGTATCAAGGGAGTCACTGGCGGTGATTTCTATTTAGAAGACCGCATTTGACTGTGAGAAAATCAATGTTTATCAACACAAACGTTGCACATGCTCAGCACGACGACCATCGCCCTTTAAGTTTGTGACATGGCTTTCTGCACTTTGAAAATGTTTGATTTACCAACATAGATCATAGATACCAAAAGAACAGCAGCAGTCAGTCAGTCAGTCGTAAACAACGACCAGATGAGCCAATCAATGCAAACACTTCTGCCATTTGAAATGGACATTTGATGGACCAGACTGTGCTTGTTGAGAACAGAGTTAGACAGAGCCCAAGGCTGCTATTGTAGGAAGTGTAAGTTTTAATCATAGAATTTTCTGCCTGCCTGACTTGACAGAAAAGCACCCACAAGCGGCCATATTAAATGGATAGCCAAACTTTGGTCAATATGGTTTAATTACTTTTTTTTTTTTGTCCTTTTAAAATGCCTGACCCAGGCTCCTCCCACTGGATTTTACATTACTCTAAATGAAAATAAACCTTGTGGTCAGTGACCTGAAAACTAAAATCAAATAAATCTCTAAAAATATTTATTGAATCATGTTCCCTCAGACAATGAATATGCGCGATTTAGGGTGCCAAGCCAATTACTTTAATTGCACATTTGCGTACGTACAGTAATTAAGGGAGCATACTTACAGTTCCGACCACACACATCTCGAAGTATATTAAGCTGGACGAGACGCCGGACGTGATGTCAAGCGTACACGCTTCAAAACCAAATCAATGCGCGTCATACTATACGAAGTACTGTAGAATACTTTATTTTCGCTTGAAATTAATTTTCGCTGAAGGAATGATTCAGTGAAAATAAAATCCAGCGAACACACCTTTTTTCCTATATTTTAAATTCAACTTGTCAAAAATCAGTGAAAATAAATTCCATACAAAACATCCAAAACGTCCTTTCAGTGAAAATCAATTCCAGCTAAAATTGTTAAGTATTTTACAGTAGTTAGAAACTGTGCGCCACTTCGCGATTACGCCAATATAACATATAAATAATACCACCTACCTACAAAGATGATAAGAACTATTATTAAGTACAATATGACCCACAAATAGGCATAGTGTGCTGATTCGTAGTCGCAACTTTCCCATGATACATGAGATGAGGATGACGATGACGGCGGTGATTCGGTTGATACATTTGAAAATGACGTCGTGCCCGCATCGGTCGACTGGAGCAAGCTTCGAGACGAAAAGTGCGAGTCTGCAAACAATAAAAACAATTACAGTGTTTAGTTATTTATTTATTGTTTGTGTGTGTGAAAAAAATAGAAAAACAGCGTTTTGTGGGTTGCAATAATTTCGCTTTTGTTTTCCGTATTAAAAAAAAAAACATTTGGTTTAGGAGGTGGAATAATGTTTCTCAAAATTAGACCAGTACAGAGTATTTTAATACTAGTATATTAAACACCGTTACAGTTTTAATTGGTTTTACTAGGTATAAAATAACAATAGTGAATTCGTGACTATTATATGCGTACACACGGAGCTAGAGAAAGTGTCTGCGTCAATGTGAAATGCGGATTATATTGGGGGACGACGTGATTCAGACAATGCACGAACTGTTGTGTTTTTTTTTGTATTGCCCAAACACATGAACACGTCCCTGCACGACGTGATAAAGTCAGTGGCTGTAAATAGTTGCGTTTGGCATGTTTCACTGAGAGCTACCCTGTTCGCCGCCACAATGCCTCGAGCAAACAGCACTAACTGTGAAACGTGAAAAAAAAACGTATCATTTCGAAATGTGGAAAAATACTAATAAATACATCATTTTTGTCCTGTGGACACTGCGATTTTTTTGTATCTAATATTGTCAGTCCATTGAATGAACAGTGTAATGTGCGTTGATGTTTGCCAATAGTTGCCATAGCAACAACGCCGTCGACTCTGAGAATGCGTGAGATTGGCAACTCGCGATCTTTAGCGAATAATACCCTGGGTCATGGTCAATATGCAAAGTAAATACATATAACATTGTTAATGGCAATTCAATTCAGCTGGTGTCTAAATTAAAAAATCAATTGCGAGTGTTTGGAAAATGTTCACTCTGACCATGCTCTGACTACGACGTCGGTCAATTTCAGTCCAAGATGGCGGCGACTCTATATTTAATACACATATATGCGGTTGGTTGATCACAGCACGCAGTTGTAAATCGAAAGCCCATTTAATTCAACAGTCGTTCGAGAGATTTGACTGTACATTCAGTATGTACAAGTCAGCTATATTACGACGGACTCTCTAGTATTCCCATTAATTCGCATTAGCGTGAAGACCATTTTTATATAATATCAAGACGTATGTTTACATCGAACAACTCTCGAAGGTTCCACATTTACTATTGTGTATTTCAGGAAATGGGCGAAGAGCAAAAGAAAATGTAATGTTTTATTCCGGTTTAAAATGTAAATAGGAACATTGTTTTTTTTTTTTTTTGCTTTTGTATACAATTTGCGCTAATTGTGTAATTAACCAAATGTTTTTTTCACTATATATAGTAGTTACAATGTTCAATGGCGGGAACCGAATAACTACTAGTATGTCACGGATGAATGATTGTCGTTATAATTACTTTAATATTCTCGTTAAAATTGTTCACGCACTGAATACAGTACAGTCTCCTTCAATGGATGATTGACGATCTGACATATTTAAATATTGTAATATAAGAGTGTTGTGTATCAAATAGGATGATTGTTAATCAACAATCGTGGCACCTGATGCACCCTGATAAGATTTATATTATATTTATATTATATCATATTATATTCATATTATATTCATATTCATATTCATATCATATTCATATTATATTATATTATATTATATTATATTATATTATATTATATTATATTATATTATATTATATTATATTATATTATATTATATTATATTATATGCAGGTGGTCGTTCGGAAATGTGCTTGTGTGCTCCCGTGCGGACTACTATTCATGGTGAAACTATACTCTCTAATCAGTGCGCCATCATGATTCAGTCACGTGATCTCCCACGCCACACTCATTGAAAGGTGCTGCTGTAAGCAGTAGTCATTGGGTTTGGATGGTCTAGACCATGACGGGTGCCAGGAAGTTTCTATTTGGCAGTGGGGCACGAGAAGTATCAAAGAGTTGGCTGAAGTAGTATGCATTATGCGATGATGGGATTGTTTCGTGGTGGAGTTTGAATGAATATGTTTTCAAGAAAGTAATATTAACGTTTCGACATGCTCTACAGTAACTATAGAATTACACACACTTAAACATTCTATTAGCTAATCTATTCATTCTATACTTGATATATATTCATATTTAAATGTCCATTGTTGCAATGTTGGTGATGACGCTCGTGAGTCACCTAAACCCGAGATGAAATATGCTTTTGTTCCTAATATCAATACGTGTTATTATACGCCCATCATGCCACAATGATGGCGCCCGATTGTTAATCTCATCCAAACACTCGCTCGTAACTGACGAGAGTCTCGGGCAACTAAACAAATATTGTCATCTGAGCATCGTGTGCAAGCAACATTGCACCTTGACGCACACTTAGTCAGGGACGTCAACTTGAACGAGGTGTTATTTGCCTTTGGTTTTAGAGTAAGCTTTATTTTTCGTTCAGGGTGGCTGTTGGGATTCAGTTTATACATTCCAAGACACAGTCGACAATTGTTGCCTCCAAACCCATGACAACATTGTGTAAGCAACGTACACCTTTTGTCTTCAGCCGTTTTGGTGAGCCAGATTGAGAGGTCGTGTCCCTTCTATGGTTAGATTATGAAAACGTGCTTTGTGTTCGGGGCAACTTGAATTACTGAGGTTGGGGATGACATGCACATACCGGCCCCTTTTAATGGGGGGGAACCCCATCATTTGGTTATAATCTTGCTGCAAATAGATTGAATGACAAATGTTACTCTTTATAGCACTTATAACGGACCGAGCGAATAGCGATTCGGAGCTTGTAAAATACTTATTAACGTCTCTGTATGTAAGGTCTCTACGTTTTTTACATCTTAAGCATTTAAAGTAAATAACTAAAAACATTGTAATTGCATATATATCCCTTAAACATTTACACGAGTTGTAGAGTCACCAGTTATCATAACTATATTTCGTCATACCTATATTCTTGCAGTAAAGATCTACGGCAACTATGGAATGAATCAAATTGCTATCACGGTGATGAAAAGTTCATCGCTGTTTAACCCGGTATATAGGCTGTGATTTAAAGGTAATATTGCGCACCCATCCCACTCAATGGCCGCCGGGGCCTGCTTTGACAGTAACGTGTGTTTCTATTATATGACAAATACGTATAATGTTAAAGTGGTTATAAATTCGGCATCTACGTTTGAATTTATCTGTCGATTGGTAATGCGTTCGCGCGTGTAATAAATTGCCACTGGCAATAAGGCCAAGTACAGTTTACATCGACAATATCGCACGTAATTTTGGTTAATTATATTAATCCCATTTTCACGGGAAATACTATTTATCCCAGTTTATCGCCGATGGCCTTCACGGTAGAGTGATTTCGCCACAAACCCGTCCAACCATATCGATTGTTCAACGTTAATGACAGTTGGAACAACTCCAAAAACATTACTTTACAGAACCTTTCGTTGTTTACAATGCATTTTAATTTATTTCGACATTGTCTCATTTTTGCCTGTTTTATTTGCAAACTTGAAAATAACAAACAACGTCCCAAACGAGTGTGAAAAACTGTGAGCGAGGTGGTCACGGTCACGGTGAACACAAAACGTACAATTTGAGTTTACATATACGACGACCAAGCATAACATTGTGTACTTGGTACTTGAATAGAAACAATATTTGCAAAGTTCTTAGTGTGACCTACGAAAGACACTTCAAAGTGCAAGAATGTATTCTATTGCACGACCTTTATGAAGAGGCCCTAAAAGTGGCGGAATGACGTAATGTCCAAGTCGGC